CAGAAAGTTGAGCTCTGAAGGATGAGAATGACAGTCATGTAAGTATGTGAGGGAAGCGTATTCTCAGCCAATGAGAAGGCCCCAAGGTGGGAAAGGTCTTGGTGTGTCTGGAGAAAAAAGCTCAGGTGCCTGGAGCATAGTGAGTAGGAGAGAAAGTGGAGATGAGGTTGGAACACTCCGCAGGAGCTGGATCATGCAGAGTGTGGCTAGTCATGGCAGGATTTTATTCCACGTGTGAGGTGAAGGTCTGGCTTGTATTCTAGTCACAGCAACAAAGTAGCAGTGGAGGGCAATGGATTAAATCAAGGCCGCAGTGGAGGCAGAGAGACAGGAAGCTGTTGCATGGTCTATGATGGGGGCTCGAGCTAGGGTTGCTACTGGATTTCTATTTGCTTTTAATGTGTGGCTCTTTATCTTTTAACAGAAAAGAAAGACCTTTGTACTGGTTTCTCAACTTGACTTCTGTAATCCTGTAATGCTGGGAAACGGTTGGGGGAATTTGCTGATCAAAGAGCGGTGAATCACTGCGCGTGCGTGCAGGCGTACTCTAGGAGCACATGGCCATCCCTCCCGGCCTCTGTTCCTGCGCTCCCTCTCTCCCAGCTACAGAAATGGACTGTCTGTCCCAAAATGATGAGCTAAGCCTCACCATTCTGTCTGCCTCGCCTTTGTATACATTTGGAATATAACTGATATGTAGTAAATGTCTCCTAGATGGAATAGACTGGATAATGAAATGGCGCGCGCGCGTGTGTGTGTGTGTGTGTGTGTGTGTGTGTGTGTGTACACTAAATCTTTCACCATGACTAGCTCTAAGGTGAGGAGATAATCTGGATTATTTAGTGAAACAGAACTAGCTGATAACTAAAATGAGAATCTGTGCCGTGTGATTCTCACAGCCCTGTGAAGATACCACCTGCACTCTCCTCTGACGTGCTGCCTAAACTTCTGCTGTTAAAAATTAATTCCTCTGATATGAGGTCCAGATCCCTTATTGAAACACAAATATCCTGAGATAACGTATGAGCCTTGCCAATCATTTTGGCTTTAATGGATCTGTCATATGTTTGCTTGAGAGAAGCAGGTTTCACTAGCGAGGGGGATGGAAGGAGTATGAAGGCATTGTAGCTCCTTGTGGGAAGTACACCGCTCGGGATGGCTGGGAATGTGAAGAAAGAGGCAGGACGAGGAGGGTGAGGGTTCTAAATGTGCACCTTCTGCCTCAGTGATTCCACCTCTGAATGGCTAACCTGAAGAGAGAGGAATAAACATGGGGCAGAACCGCATGTGTAAAGTATTACAATAGTATTACAACCCCAAATGGAGGCAGTCTAAATGTCCAATGATAAGGGTATGGATAAATAAAGATGACATGGCTTTATAGTGTAATATTTTGCACCATTAAAATGTTTCTGAAGAATTTTTAATATAATGGGATGAAAGTCCAAACAAAAGTGTATATGTGTCTGTATATTCTGTGTGCCATAAATATATAGTACAATTTCAAATATCTAAATGATAGATCTGTGTAGAAAAGACTGACTAAATAGGTGTATGTATTTTTATATGTATATATGTTGATTGTGATGGAATTTTTGGTGATATTTCTTTTCTTTTGATAATTATATATATTTTCCAGATTTAAAAATAAATATGAATTATTCAAGAACATATCATTTTAACATCTACATACAAACATTGTTTAAAAGGAGAGGTGGTCAATTTTGGTCGGTATACTCTGATCTGCAGCCTAGTGTAGAAAATGACTTGTCCCTTGTTAGACATGTAAGTTCAGCTCAGTTAGTCATTGTCACAGTCTTCAGGGGCAGGAAGGGAAGTTAGCAGAAGTCTCGATGCCCACATGGCCCATGACTGTATCGACTGGTTCCAACATGAGACTGCACACCTCTCATGTCGAGGCCATTTTTACACAGATAACCAATGTTCTCCTTAAGCTCCTTCTTTAGAACCTGCATTTGGAAGCTGTTGATTAAGATCCCACCCCTCCCCACCCAACCCTCTTTAGCTGTGTTTTGTCTCCAGGCTGCATTATATCTGATATATACAAAGGAATTTTTCATAAGTCTTCTTCTTGAGTTTGTACCCAAGAATATCATGAGTTCCTCTGGGTTAGAAGCCCTGCCTCCCACGATATGTATGTGTAGTAGCTAAGAAGAGTTCAGGCTCTGGAGACACACTGCCTCTTCTACCTCTTACTAGTTGCATGACCTTAGTCATAATATGGAATTTGTTTGTGCCTCAGTTTTCTCAACTGTTAAATGGGGAGAAAAAGTCTACCACACATGGTAGAGTTTAAATAAATTAATACATGTAAGTTGGCACAGCATGGCACATAGTAAGAGCTTATTAAGTTAGTATTCATTCAATCAATCAATCAATCAATCAATCAATCAATCAGTCATTCTATATTATTAAGATTATCTCTTCCATCCCACACCCCTGTACAGTGTGTCCTAACCTCTGTGTTAGGAAGATGTAACTGAAGTGTTCCAGCCATCCAGGTGCTTCCTACAGCCCTGTCTCTGATTCTTGCTGTTCCTGTTGCATTGACTCAACTCAAATGCTTATTGAGACTCTCCATGCTCAGTGGCATGGTGATTGGAACTTTTTAATCTTTTATGTCTCTGTCTTTTTCCCATCCCATCTCCTCCTATGCTAACCAACTCTCTTATTCCATCATTGGGTATTTCCAATGAACCATACACTGTACTAAAGGATTTTTATTTCAATTCCTTCTCATAAGAGCCCTGTGTGAGATAGAGGCAATTATTCTCCTCATTTTACAATTAAGGAGACATGGGACTGGAGAGGTTAATGGACTTGACCAGGGCTACAGATTAAGGAAGTGGGATGTTCTTCCTCCATTTTCCCAGTACTGATGTACTTTGAGTAGGGGAGAACCCACTCGATAGGTGGGCTATAGCCCAAAGAGTTGATGTCATTCTTGTTTTACTTTCTTGCAAATCACAGAAACTGGAAGAGACCTGTACAGATTTAGCATGTTTCCTGTACCAGGGGCTGTGCTAGGTGCTGGGGACATAAAAATGGAAAGAAGTTGGTCAGTGACCTGTTTGTTTAGTGTCTCAGTTATCTTTTACTGTGTAATAAAGCACCCTAAAACTTAGTAGCTTAAAACAATGATTTATTGTTTCTCAAGCTTGTGTGAATTGTCTGGACTGAGACAGTTCTTCTGCTCCACATGATGGTGTTTAGAACCACTCATGTGGCTGCATTTATCTGAGAGCTTGGCTTGGAGTCCAAGATGGCCTCACTCACATGTCCGAAAGGAGGTGCTGGCTGTTGGCTGGGAGGCTGCTTTCCTCCACTTGGCCTCTCCTCTTCCAGGGCCGCTCACCATGTGATCTCTCTAAGTGGATAGTCTGGACTTCTTTATGTAGTTGTTGGCTTCCAGAGTAAAAGTAGAAGCTACATGGTCTCTAGTTACAGAGGTCACACAGCAACACTTCTGTTGCATTTTGTGGCCCAAAGCAAGTTACAGGGCCAGCCCAAGAGTGGGGAAGGGGATTGTATCTCTTGATGTGAGAAATAGGAGCACAGGGATGGGAGGGACTGCCATAGCCATCTGAAAACAATCTATTGCTCTGTCCATCTAGCTCTTTAGTCTGAAGAACAGGGTTTTAGAGCAGGAAACCTCCTTGACCATCATCTGATTCATCCCCCAACCCCCCTAGTTTTACAGATGCAGAAACTAAGACCTGGGATGTCAGGCTGCTTGGCTTAAGCCAGCACATTTAGTGGAGGAGCTCGGCTTAGAGCCCGTGCTTACCTGGTTGGTATCATTACCTGCACATGCGGATGTATACTGTGATTTCCCTCCAGCAGAGGATGTCTGCTGAGTCCCTCCCTGACTCAAGGCTGTCCCTATTAAGTTTGTAGACTACAAGGGTGCAGAAAAAGAAAGAGACCTGCTTTTTTTGTCTTCTGTTTCTGTGCCTGGTATCTGCCTCCCTGTTCCTGGTCTGGGTACCAGGGTCTTCAATTAGTGCTTTTGGCCTCACTGACCAGCATTGACCAGGCATACCTTTTTTTTATCATCGCCTTTTCTATTGCATTTGGAACATGAAATGATGCTGGAATTTACTTCATGCACAAAAAGTGGATGTCCAAACCCCACCAGATAATTATAAAGTGAAACCCAACACATTTATGTAATTAATGCTTTGAGCAGTTTATTATACTACAGCACATTTTTTTTTCTAAAATCCCAAATTACTGCAATAAAAAATGTGCTGCTTGTTTTGAAATGGAGCAGGTGAGCCATAAATTATTAATTTCTCTAAGAATAACCATAAACCCAAAAGTAATTAAGAGGTTCCATTTTTCCAGATCCTTATAATGCTGTTTTGAATATTTCTGGCCTCCTGGGTAGAGAACCAATATTTATTGTGTGTTAAAGATAATGTTTGTTGTCAAATATAGTTCTGGGATTCCCCCCTAACTCTTGTGGGGGTGTCTGACTCTTACTGAGGTTTAAGGTAAATAAGGAGCATAATTCTTAGGTTTATGACTTCTTGAAGACCATAAATTTCCAAAGACGATCTAGTAGAGAAACTCTCTAGGAAAATACATCCACCTGATTTCTGCTGTATTGAGTAGATTACATAAAACTATTTTTTAAATTCTAATGGCATTTACCATTTTGTAATCAAACAAGTCATATTTGTTTATTATTAAAATTTAGAAAAGGCATAAGCACACAAAGGGTAAAATCAAGATCACCCATAATCCCACCTTGTAGTCAAAACCACTGTTAACATTTTAGTATATGTTCTTCCTATGAGAGAGAGAGAGAGAGAGAGAGAGAGAGAGAGAGAGAAGTTTTTCCTTTTTTTAAAAAAAAAACGGAGGATCATACTGTAAAATAATTTTGCAACCAGATTATTTTGTGTTTTGTTTTGCTTAACTGTCACTCAGTATCCTCCTACTCTACAGGGAGTGACTCTCTCTTGTCTCGACAGGGCAGTGACATTGAAGCACTGGTCAGGTGTTTGGAAAACGTCCTGGGCAGCCCCTCTCTCGGTGAGTAAGTTTCTTCATTGCAAAATACAGTGATACTTACTGAGTCTAGTGCACCACCCAAGAAATAGAAAGCTTAGAAGGACTCGTACAGATATTTCAGTCCCACCTCCTAATTTTCCAGCTGAGGAAACTGAGGCCAACAGAGGCTGAATGTCTAGCCCATCAACCCAGGAATTATTTATTGTTGGTAGTGACCCTCAGTCTCCAAGGATGAAATAATTGAAGCTCAGGGATTTACTGTGATCCAGTGGTGGCCTACCAGTGCTTATTGTCAGGTTTTATAGGTTTCCTTGGAGAGAAATTGTCTACCTCGCCCCTCCTGTAGAAACAGATGTCTTCAGTCAGGCCGAGAGGACCATCGCTGAAGGTCAGGTAGTTATTGGAAGAGATTTGGTCTGAAAACAAAGCTGCAATTTCTTTAGCATTGTCAGTCTCCATATATGAGATTGCTGTGCTCCAAGAATGACACTTATTTCTCAGTTTCTTCTTTTTGAAATCCAGAAAGCCAGCCATGATAACGTCTAGCACTGGTTGATAAACTGTCATTTTTAAATGTTTTAATAGTATGACCAAACGCCATCTCTTCCAAGGGAACGGAAGGCATAAAGAGTAAATGTTCAGGTGTGCACGCATTTACCACTGTTTCATTGGGAGCTCTATGCACAATGTATAGCCTTTGCGTACATTATACCACATCTGTGTGTGCAAAGCCTCAGTTATCACACAGCTCCCTGATTTTTCCTCCCAGCCATCCCCCTGGGATCTATTCAGTTGTGCACCAGTAACACTTATGAGGCATATTTTAACTCATAAAAATGGTCTTGGAGACTAGAGAGGCTTTCCTTTGGCCAAGCCACTTCCCCTCAGACCTCAGCTAGACCACATCAGTAATTTCCAAACTGGGTTCCTTGGGGACCTGTAGGAGCGGGAAGGGGAGGTGCACTGTTTCTCCAGGGTCTAACAGTGTCTGTGCAGAAGAGTCACTGAGAAGATACTTTAAAAATGTAAGAGAGCCCAGCTTGTGTGGCTCAGTGGTTGAGCATCGACCCAGGCACCAAGAGGTCACCAGTTCAATTTCCAGTCAGGACACATGCCCAGGTTGTGGGCCAAATCCCCAGTGGGGGCATGCAGGAGGCGGCCAGTTGATATTCTCTCTCATCAATGTTTCTGTCTCTCTCTCCCTCTCACTTCCTCTCTCTCTAAAATAAGTAAAGAAAATAAAAAATAAAAAATAAAAAACCCTCAAAACCCACCAGTAGAAACAATTTAAAAATGAAAGAGACATGAGTTACAGATCCTGCTCCTTGACCACCTTCAACCAAGATAATTTCACTCTTATCTGTTTTATAAATTAGATTTCTACATATAAGATTGTGTCTTGAAAAAGATGGATTCTATGGCAAAAAAAAAAAACAAAAACAAAAAACACTGGACTGCAGATATAGTATCTAATTTCCCCTTTGGGCTGTATGATTCTATAAAAATGAGCATTAGAACCATGGAATAAAAATACATGTTTATCTCTGCCTGGAGCTCCACAAAGTGGCAGAAAAGGAGTAAGTTATACAAACCCACAGGAACAAAGGGAACAGGAAGAAAGGTGGGAGCAGGCCACAGCTGTTAGTGCCTTTGAGAAGCTACAAAGCAGATGGATGAGTGGTAAGTGATTTAGAAAACAGAGGAAGGTGAAAGCTTCGTCCCCAAGATGTGTGTGGGCTGGAAGAGGGGAGGCACGGTGGGGACACATGCCTTTGAAATACCTGTCTGGGTGGTACTCACAGCAGGACCCTCACTGCAAACTCCAGGAACTGCTCTGTTACTACATAGAAGCCATGAAGCTATATCCTCACATAGTCTCATAGGGAATGAGACTGCTCAAGTAGCTAGTATCTGTTTTGCTGTAATGGCATTTTTGGGAGATTCTCCAGCTATAATAGTTAGAGCTAATGAATAGCTGTGCTTGTTAATATATGTCAGGATGTTAACAGAATCCAGGGGGCAGTTTAAACTTAAATGTGTCAGAGTCTAAGCCTCACACCTAAAAGTGACACCTCTCTGAATCGAGCTGCGCCTAGCTCACATTCAACATCAGCCTCTGCATTTTGTACGAGCACCGCGGAGCTTCAACAGATCCTGAATTAGAAGGTGCTCTTTTGAATTCCAAGTTTAGTTTACTAGTCTCCTTGATACATCAAGGTCATTTTGAAGCCTTGAGATCAACGGTTCTCACACTTGAGCTCATGTTGGAACTACTTACAGGGTTTTGAAGATGCACGTCTAGTGCACGCCCAGGAGTGCTGGGTGCAGACCACACTGAGAACCACGGCTTCCGAGTCCTGAAGCCCTGGAATTCGCATTGTGTGCACCGACCCCGATTTATAATTCAAACAAAGCACTACTGAAGTATAAATTTAAATTTTTGTTTCTTAAAATGATAGAGAACTTACCTGTGAGCTAAAATGAGAATAGCTTCATTCTGGATGTTTTCCCATCTTTTCGTGGTGTCGGCAGAGTGTGCTGAGCTGTCTGGCCCTGGATACAAGAGTTACTGAGCTTCCTGGAACGGAGCTTGTGTTTTTGCTTCATCCTCAGCATCTGCATCAGACGTTTAGGGAGGTCTGTAGGGCTCAGGAGCTATATGAGGAAGCCAGTGCCCAGACCTTTTGGGAACACAGTCCCAGCCACCAGGGGGGGCCCTGGAGAAACAGTGAGACCTTTGTAACAATACCACAGAGCACCCACTAGGTGCTTCTTTTACACGTGGAGGATGTATTGTTCCAAATAGAGGCAACTTATCTCTGCAGCCCTAAGTTCCTCCTGAAATTTCCCATGGGGTACAAGAAACAAGGCCAGTCGTGAACGGGATACTGAGTGATCCAGAAAGAATTGGGAGAAGGAAAGCAAGAAGGAACTAAAAAGAGAGCAGCAAAGGCCAGAAATGAGGGCAGGGGAGACAGCCAAGAATGTAGGCAGTGGGCATTTCACCAGGGCAGATACTTTAAAACATGACATTTCTGTCGTTGAAATGTGTATCCTGCCCCCCCCCCACACACACACACACACAAACTTCTTCCCTACAAGTGTTTATAAAACACATGTGATACACAGGTATTACGAAGTGATGAAGAAAACAAGGTGCCTATCTTAATGAGCTTCCCATTAGTCAGAGAGTCCAAAAATTACAGGGCATTTCAATGAGGACAACTCCTACTGTGAATGAGCTAAGTGGAGGGCAGGGGTCCACTCTGGGGTGCAGCCTGGGGAAGGCTTCACAGAGGAGGGGAAGAGCTGTAGTCTCCTGTGTGTGCGAGGGCAGGACATGGTCTTATTCACTGTAGTGTTCTCAGAATCTAGCACATAGTATATTTTTTTAAATAGTCATTTGATGAATGAATGAAAAGATAGAGTTGCCAAGCACTCAGGAGGGAGAAGTATTCTCTGGAAAGATCAAGCAGCGTGAAAGCTCAGAGGTATGAAATAACTGAGCACGTGCAGGAACTATCAAGAAGTTTGGTGCTGCTGGAGTGTGAGGCGTGAGGAGAGGCTAAGCAGACCTGGGTAAATAGGGCCGAGGCCATGGAGCATCTGGTGCGCCAGGCTGAGGACCCTGGTCTTTCTCCTCTGATTTAGGATACCACTAGTTTTTAAGCAGATGAGAAACAATCTTTTTTTTTTTTTTTTTAATCCTCATCCGAGGACATTTTTCCATTTTTTGTACAGATAGAGTAGGAGGGAGAGAGAGGAAGAGAGAGAGAGGGAAACATCGATGTGAAAGGGATACATCGAGTGGCTGCCACCCGCACGACCGACCAGGGCCGGGGACAAACTGCAACCGAGGTTCATGCCCTTAGCGGGAACCGAACCCGGGTCTCTCCGGACCGCAGGCGGACGCTCTAACCGCTGAGCCAAACCGGCCAGGGCAAGAGAAACAATCATTTTTAACAAACAATAAGGAAGATGCTTTGAAAAGAGTGACTTGAGTTGGGGAACTGGTTATGGGCTCTCATTACACAGACAACTGATGGTGTTACTATAGTAACTGTTCAAGCCCATCACTACTCAGTAAGGGCAGAGGATGACCTCTGTCTTTCTTTTCATCACACTTAGAGAGGAAAATTCTGCCAACTTATTTCTTAGTAGCCAGATTAAGAACCAAGGCAACATATGAAGCTGAACATTTTTTGTTTAGGAAATTAGCTGTACTTCTAGAGAGAACTCTTCAGCAGAATGACACAAGTCCTTGGTGAACTGTATTTATAAAAAGGCTTGTTTTGTAGATCAAAACTGGATATTGTCACAGAAATAATTAGAAGAAAGCAGATACGACTTCAAAATCTCTCTGCCCATTAAAATTCCTTTGGTGCGTTGATACATTTGATCAGTTTGGCTTTTTCAAAACTGTTACCCCTCAATTCTTCCACTGAATGTTGGTAATAAGTATTTAATCTCTACTAAACAATGTGACTGATATAGCCCAGAGAAGGCAACAGGGCTTCTGAATCCCTTAAAACTTTCTTGCTTAAGCTCTTCAAACTCTAAGCCATTAAGTGTAGGGATGACTGACAGCCATTTAACCTTGCGCTGTAGTGCTTTTCACCTTGACAAAAAAGAATGTCTCAAAATAATTACAGTGATTTCAACATAGTGTTTTATCCTTGGTTACTGACACATTGAAACCACTAATTTTGGAGGTGAAGAGGGAGATTTTGGATCATAAACCACTTGGATCATTTTGATGTGAATGCACAATATTTGTTCGCCACTGTCCTTCCTCTTTATGCATTAGAAAAATTTAATCATTTCTATAAGTTCTGTAAAACGTGAAACAATGTAACAGGTTAGAATTAGTGGCAATTTACAGAGAACCTGCTGTCTGTTACCATGCCAGACCCATTCATTTGGCAGATGTGTGGCGATGAGCATAGGGAAAAGGCTTTGTAATATAAATAAATCCCTAATACAATATTATCAATCATTCTTAGTGGTAAACTCTTAGTAAA